CCCCCAGGATAAAAAGAGGCAGATACTTAGCGTACATGAGTTATAAACTAATTCATAGATTGGTGTGAGTTGGAGCGAGAGGCTCCCAAGATGCGATTGCTACGCCTGTTGGCCATCGAAGTGGTGCTTAGGATAACGAGATTGAGTTTCCCACAAGCGGAGCCAAACTATTGCGGGCTAAAATATACGTGGCGATATAGTTAATATTACGTCTTAACATTGTACGGATATCCGACTCACATATAGAGAACACAATATTTTTTACGTGGAAAGCCCCGGAAAGGGAATAACAACGGGGGCTTGCCCAGTTGAAATGACTCAACTAGTGTTTGGGTAGATTACAGTGGGTTGACTCATCCTTGAGGGCGATCAGATTACAAATGTCAACTGTATGGTTGAAATATAGTGACAAACAAGGATAAAAGTCCAGTGTCACTTGGTGGACTGACAGAAGTCTGGCGTTACTTGAAAATTCGGGCGTCAGTTGGTAGCCTGCGGTGGTTTGACAGAACTTCGATGTCGAGCGGTGATCCAGCAGAATTCCGGCATCGGGCGTTGGTCTGACAGAACTTCGGTGTCGGGTGGTGGTCTCACAGAACTCTGAGCCCCAGGTGGCGGAACTCCGGGCGTCAGGTGGTGATCCGGCAGAATGCCGGGCGTTAGGTGGTGGTCCGACATAACTCTGGGTGTCAGGCGGTGGTCCAGCAGTACTCCAGGGTTCAGGTGGTGGTAAGACAGAAGTTCGGGCTTCAGGTGGTGTTATGGCAGAACTCTAGGCCTCAGGTGGTGGTCCGGCAGAACTCCGGTCGCTAGGTAGTGGTCCGACAGAAGTCTGGGCCTGAGGTGGTGGTCTGGTAGAAGTCTGGGCGCTAGGTGGTTGTCCGGTAGAACTTCGGGTGCCAGGTGGTGGTTCGACATAACTCCGGGCATCAGGTGGTGGTCCGGCAGAACTCCGGGAGTCAGGTGATGGTCTGGAAGAACTCTGGGCGTCAGGTGGTGGTTCGGCGGAACTCCAGGCGTCAGGTGATGGCCCGGTAGAACTCCGGGCGGTGGTCGAGGCAAGGAGGCAAGAGCGATCTCCGATCTCTCTCTCGTTTCCTTATGCTTAGGGGCCCCTTTTCAAGAGGAATGAGGCATTTATTTATAGATTTCCTAGAATGTCATGACTGTAAATAGGAGGAATATCAAGGGTAAATGATGAGTGGTTTGGATGGACGATTGATGTTGAATCTCTTGATCGTGGACTGTTCGTTAAACATTTGAAGGTCTTAATAATGTTGAAATTCCGTGATCTTGGGTTCGTTGGATTCGTCTCGTCGAGCCGCTCGATTCGACTATAAATATGTCATGTTTGGTAATCCAAATTGTGGTTTGAGCCTTCCAACAACACCTCAGTTCCTTGATTTGGACCCATTTCGGCTCGAATTGAGTCGAATTTTGTGTCGTTGGGTTTGTATTTCTGAGACGTTTATTTGACTATAAGTTTGCTGAAATCGGAGTTCTGATGGTCCGAATTTTAATTTTGGAAGTTTCCAATTTGATTTTGCCTTGAATATCAAGATATTTTTTTGATGATGTATCAAAAATATTAATTAAATTTGTACCATAAATTAAATTTAAAATTTTAACAAACTAATCATTTTAAATATTAAATTAAGTTTTACATGATTTAACAGTTTTCTTGGCAAAATAATTATCAAAATTTAACACTAGATTTACTAAATTCAGATTTATAACCTACTAAACTCAAATCCCACCGGCCAAATTATAAAAGGAGTATGTTTAATATATAAATATGTAGATAAATCATGTTTTAAAAAAATTAAAAAGGAGCGAAATCAAATGATAGAAATCTGATTTCTAGAAACTGGAATTTTGTAAAACCGTTTTTTACTTTATATAAAATACTTTTTAAATTTTGTATTTATATTAATTATTAATTTTAGGTTATCAATTGTTTAAGATAAAAATGTTAATATTTAATAACTTTTAATATAATTAATACGTTTAAAATTTTTTATAAAAAATTATATTAAAAATATTTTAGATTATAATGTTTTAAAATGTTTATAATCTTTTTAAACTTTATATTCTGGTTAGTTTGTTAAGCTGGTCGGGATCCGGCTCGGGCGGGATCCGTCCCCGTCGGGTCGGGTCGTGATAGAGGGTCTAGCATTTATGAGACACTAAGATTTTTGCGTGGAAAACCCCTTAAAAAAGGGAAAAACCATGGGGCTTAGCCTAGTTTGAATGAATACACTAGTATAGCAGTTGATTACAAATGAGGCACTTCCTTGGGGGAAGGCCTTAGCTTGATGTACATCTTATAGAGTACATTACATGATGTGAATACAAAGAGTCACTGTTGATGTGTTTGTTTGGTCGGGAGGACCGCTCGATCGTCAGTGGACGACATAAGTCGTAAGGACCGTAGTTGGCGGACGACGGAGGCCGTAAGGACTGTAGTCGGTGGGCGACGTAAGTCAGAAGGACGGTAGTCGGCAGGCGACAGAGGCCGGAAGGACTGTAGTCGGTGGGCGACGTAAGTCGGAAGGATCGTAATCGATGAGCGACGGAGGTCGGAAGTAGGGGTGTCAATTCGGGTCAGCGGGTCGGGTTCGGGTCGAACCCGAATTGACCCGACTTTAAACTGGTCAACCCGAATCCGACCCGTTTTTGTAAACAGGTCGACTTTTTCAACCCGGACTGACCCGCCCGGGTTGCTGGGTTGACACGATCCGACCCGTACTTTCGACGTAGCTGCAGCGGCAGCGGCAGAGCAGCGATACACGGCGGCGGCAGCACGTGTCGCAGCCCACAGGCGGAGCAGCGGCAGCACGAGTCGGTACACACGCGGGCGGGACATGTTCGCAGCTTCGGGTTCGCCGTTCGGGACGCGCGCCGGATGTGCGGGGGAAGGGTTTGCTTCGGGTTCGCCGTTCACCTCTTCGGGTTCGCCATTTGCGGGACGTGCACGGGACGGGTTCGCCAGTCGCAGGTTGCCACTTCGCCCGCGGTTCGCTTCGGGACGCGCATGGGAGGGGTGACGCTTCGGGCAGGGCGGGCAACAGACCAGGCAGAGGATTTCCGGGTCAATTTCAGGTCATTTTCGGGTTGCCGGGTCAACCCGAACCCGACCCGTTTCATAAACGGGAACCCGGATTTTTTCGGGTCAGGTTTCGGGTCGGGTCAAAAATTGACACCCTTAGTCGAAAGGACTATAGTATGACGACAGATGTCAGAAGGATGAGGTCAGGTAGAAGTACAATAATGGACAGAAATCCAGCACCGGATAGATGTTCGGCAAAAGTTCAACAACGGGCAGAAATCCGGTGTCGGGTAGAAATCTGGTGACAAGCTAAGGTCCGGCGTCGGGTAGAGGTCCGGCGTCGGGTTGAAGTCCGACGTCAGTCGGCGACATGGGAGAACTCCGGCGTTAGTTGATATTCGGACAAAACTCCAAAGTCACTTGGAGATCGGGCGGAGTTACGGCGTCCTGTGGAAGTCGGGCGGAATTCCAGCGTCGCTTCGGCAAAATTCTGACGTTACTTGGGCGTTGGGCAGAATTCCAGCGGTGGTTAAGGAGGAGTTCTTCCCTCCTATCATTCTATTCTTCTTCTCTTCTTCTTTCTTTTTTTTGCTTGGTCCCCTCTCATGAGAAATGGGGAGTCTATTTATAGATATTATGGAGTGACATGATTTGTAAATATGTGAGAGATCATGGATAAATAGGGAGCGGTCAGATGGATGGCCGATATTAAATCCCTTGATCATGTACCGTTCGTCAGACATTTGAAGGTCTTAATGATGTCGGAATTCAGCGATCTTGGGCTAGTTGGATTCGTCTCGTCGAGCCGCTCGATTCGACTATAAGCACATCATGTTTGGAAACCGTTTGGTAACTCAAATCGTGGTTTGAACTTTCCAACAACGCTTTGGGTCCTTGATTTGGACTCATTTGGGCTCGGATTGAGTCGAATTTGATGTCGTTGGGTTCATATTTCCGAGACGCTCAGTTTGACTATAAGTTTGCTGAAAACGGAGTTCAGATGATCCTAGATTTAATTTTTGAAGTTTCCAACTTGATTTTGCCTCGAGATTCGTGCCCTATCAAAATAATTTTTTGATGATATATCACTTCTCAAATTTTTGTAAATTAGAAATCGGTTAATAAAGTTCTGGTTTTTATTGAAACTAAATAATTAAGTTTCGTATTTGCTTCTTTTTAAATTTATTCGTCAATATGTTCCTTAAATTAATTTAGATTTAAATCATGCTCTTTTTATAAATTGGCCAATCCCACTTGTTGCCAAACAGCCCCTAAAACTGTTTTTTACCCTCATAATATACGTAGGGGTGTCAATTCGGGTCAACGGGTCGGGTTCGGGTCGGACCCGAAACTGACCCGGCACTATTCTGGTCAACCCGAACCCGACCCGTTTCTAAAAACGGGCCAGGTTTCCGGACCCGAACCTGACCCGATTTGGGTTCGGGTCAACCCGACCCGACACGGATTTGCGTGTTTGGCTGAAGCGGCGGCGGCGAGACAACGACTGGCAACAGCAGCGGCTGCGGTGTTGCAGCAACAACGCGGCGGACCGGCGGTGCGGCAACAACAGCGCAGCGGCAGCACGGTGACAGCCTCGAAGGAGGCGAACTGGCGACTCGAGGGAGTCGACGCTACTGGACGCGCGGACCGTGGGTCATTTCGCGGGCAGACGGAGTCGACTGGACACGCGGACCGCGGGTCATTTCGCGGCATACGGAGTCGACGTGATTGGACGGGCACGTCTGGCAGCAGAAATGTGCAGAAGCATTTCCAGGTCATTACCGGGTTTCCGGGTCAACCCAAACCCGACCCGAAACTCAAATCATGTCAGATATTCGAACCCGAACCCGACCCGTTTGATAATCGGGTCGACCTCAACCCGGATTTTTCCGGGTCGGGTTCGGGTCGTGCACCCTCTATTTCATGTTATGTATATATACTTCGAATGGAACGGACTTCCTTACTCTATTTTCTATCTCGATAGAGAATAAATGCAAGAAAAGTAGTGTCAAGGAAAATTATAGGCATTGGATCGACTAGTTCAGAGAAGAGATGGATCTGACCGCTGAGTTCAGCCAGAGCAGCGGCTGGAGCATGAGCTGGAGGGCGAGTCCATGGCTGCAAATGGGGTATCCATGGACTTCGAAGAACAGCGCCGCCACCGACGAGGAGGCGGAGGATTTCTGGTCGGCGCTCGAAAGCCTGCAAAGCTCCGACCATCAACGGACCGTAACCAGTGATGAACAGCCGGCGCTTTACAATTATGAAGACGTGGAGTTCACTAAAATGGGGCCCACCGATCGCCGGCTTTTCATTGATCGGATTTTAAGGACGGCTGATGAAGACAACGCTGCCTTTCTCAAGAAGCTGCGCCACCGGATTGATAAGTGAGTCCTTCTATGCCCTTAAAATTAGGTGGATTTACATAAAAACCATACTATTTTTTATGTATTTATATAGGAAATATTTAATTTTTTATTTTTATTTATATATTGCTTTATATGTATGAAAAAAAAAATTATTTTAAATAAATTATGGCCCCATATTTTATAAAGCAAGTTCAAATAAAAGATGATAAGAAGTGGTAGAATTGATGATTGGGAACTCTTTTTTTAGCATTCCTAACTTCATTTCGACAGTGCAATTTATCGATTTGATCGTTTTCCCGATCTCTATTAAATGAGCTGAAGGATTTTTAGCTGAGTCTATTTTTATTATTTTATATTTTCTTTATATTGTTTTACATAATTAATATCACTATAATACAATATTAAATAATCATGAGTTATACTCATCTAAATCAAAATTTTATGTAAATTTACTATAAAAATATTCTGACAATTTTTTTTAAATTAATGTTGAAATAATTAAATTTATTTTAAAATACATATAATATCTGAATAATCAATTAAATTAAAAAAAATTAAACTTTATTTTAGTCAGAACTTTGACCACATATTCTTAGACAATATTTTTCCAATTATTTAAAAAGAGATTATGCAATTGAATGATCAGTACATTCCTATTGCATGCTTGAGATCTATAAAAAAAATCACTTCTATTGATAAACAATATTCTTGATGTAATAAAAGATAGAAATTTGTGCAATATAAATAATTTATTTATAAGTCTTTTAAAGCTTATCCTGATTAGTATTTTATCAATTTTTTTTTCATTTTAATTTATTTTTTTATATCATTAATTATAATTTGAATTTTTTTCAGTGTTGGAATCCAGCTTCCAACTGTTGAAGTAAGATTTGAGAATATAACAGTACGGGCCAAATGCCACATTGGCACCAGAGCTCTGCCAACTCTTCTCAACGAGTCCATTAATCTAAGTGAGTCACTATTTGGTCTATTTGGTGTGAGGTCAACTCAGATGACTAAGCTTAATATCCTCAATAATATCTCTGGGATTATAAGGCCCTCAAGGTAATTTTAATTAATAGTTTTTGCAGAATATTAACATTTTATTATATAAAAAAATGATTTCAAATAATAACAACATCATCAAGCCTTTATCCCATTATGTGGGGTTGACTATATGAGTCTTGTTTCTTCATTTTGTCATGTTGAGAGTCAAATTCTCCACTTCAACCATCCAACTTGAATTCTACTAATAATTTCCTATCTATTTCACCACCACTTTGAATAATAGATCCAATATATTTAAAACAAGTACTTCTTAATGACTTGTGATGTGATACGTTCAAGAATTGCACATGAAATTCATTAAGAATCACAAAGTTTACCAATGTAAGATTAGACTTTCGTAGGTTAAGATTCAAGAAATTTTCCGTTAACGAAATGTTATGATAAGCGGTTACAACTTGTGTTTAGACACAATTAATGAAGGATCTCAAAATTTACACAATAAAGCAAATGAGGAAAAATAATAGAATCCCACGGCTAATGTTTAGAAAGTTCACGAGTACATTGCTCACTCACACTCACGTCGGGCTTAGCGGGAGAAGGCCTTTAGCAAACTCAACGATGCCACGAAGACGGTGGCCACACCAATGGCCTTTAGCCACGGAGAGGTTGACGGTGACAAGGATGGCGTGAATGCTTGACTGTCGATACTCTAATCGTAGCTTGAAAATCGTCGGTCGATGATGCTCACAAGAATCGGGACGACTAGCTCCAAGTATTCTTCAACTGTGGCGTCGTCTTCAAATCCTACGTCAAAGCACGGAGATCGTAGGATATTAATGCTTCCGTCGGCGTTGAACACTAATCCCCACTCAAACTCCGGGTCTGCCATACATGCTTGGCGTGGAGATTTCTTCACGGAGAGGAGAACTAAGTGAAGGTAATGGAGACTCCTTGCTTTGGAAGAAGGAGGAGGAGGAGGGAGGAGCCGGTGGGATCTCCAAGGAGAGAGGGATTTCGGCCAAGGTGGGAGAGAGGGGCGGGTGCAATGAGGGAGAGCAGCTAGGTTAGATGAGGTGGCATGAAGTTTACTCAAATCTGAAATTAATCTCAGATTTTAGTAAATTTGGAGGGAATAATTTGAAAAGAATTTCAAATTTCCAATGTAATTAAGGGAGATTTAATGAGCAATTAAAGGGGCTCATCAAGAGGTGGCCGGCGGCATGCTTAGAGGGGAGGAGAGGTTTGAAAACTTAAAACTGAAATTTAATTTCAGTTTAAGTAATTTAGGAGGGAAAAACTTTGAAATCAAATTATGATTTCAAAACGGTGAAGGCATTAAACAAGCAATTAATGGGGAAATTTCTCCATGGGGGCCGACGGCATGCATAGAGAGAGAGGGGAATTCAAGGGAGAAAGGATTCCAATTTAGGATGATGATGTGGCAATAGGTTTCATAACTCCAATCTAAATTAAATTGAAATTGAATCCCATCATGAAAACGTTCCTAAATTGGAGTTCCAAATAAGGAAATAATTCAAAATTTGAAATTTTCAAATTTCAAATTTGAAAACTGTGTAGGGAAGGGGTTGGGTGGGTGAGGGGAAGTTGCCGGCAAGGTGGCCGGCAGGGGTTGTGGTGGTGGTCGGCGGTGGGTTCCCAAGGGGCGGCGGCAATGGGGTTGAGGAGGGATTTCTTGTAGTGGAGGGGAGGAGATGGAGGAAAATACGAACGAAAAGATAGAAGGATTCAACCACGAGCCGCGGACTCTTCCAACGACTGGTGGGCCTTGCGGATTGCTCCCCTTGAGCTCTCTCCCTTCTCAAGCTCTCATGCAAGAAGAAGAAGTAGAAACAAAATATTTTTCATTCAAATATTCATTAACCTCAATACAACTAGAAATGACCTATATATAGGTCCAATACAACACAAAATACAAAGACTATATTGCCCTCGGGGCTACAATCATAACTCAATTCATACTAAGGGTACAATAGGAAACTCCAAGAAATAAAAGAAAAATGTATAAAGAAAATGCATAAATAACTAGAAATATAAACTCTGAATCGTGGCCGTCGATCTGCACTGTCTCCGGCGATACACATGCTTGAATCTCTGATCGATGTCCGCATCATTCTCCCCAGGTGGGAGAAAGCTCGACACAGTCGAGTAGAAATCTCTGGAGCTCTCGTACATCTCTAGGAGATCTGGTTCCAAACTCTGCAGCTCCTCTCGATCTATCCACGTGTCCTCTGTCGCCGGCTTCCCTCTCCAGTGCACCAAGTACCTTTGGCGACCACCTTCCTTCGTGGAAATGATTTCATCGTCAAGTATAGCTTCGACCTTCTCCGCAGTGGGTAAATGGGACAATTTGGTGAGTGGAGGTAGGCTGGGGATCTCACTGGGTGGGTTCTCACAAGGCTTATCATGAAGAGGATTATCAGGGTTAAACTCGGGTCCCTCAAAAGCTACTAAATCTTCAACATTAAACGTAGGATTCATATTAAAGCCTTCAGGAAGGTCTAACACATAAGCATTACTGTTTACTTTCGAGATTATCTTAAAGGGGCCCGCACTTCTAGCATGTAACTTTTTAACGGCTCCTTGGGGGAACCGCTCCGGACGAATCCATACCATAACAAAATCTCCATCTTCAAATTCTTTAAATCTCTTCTTACGACCAGCATCAATCTTATAATGAGTATTACTTTGTTGAATTCTTTTATTTATTTCTTTGTGCAATTCTTGAAGAAGAGATGCGAATGCAGATGCAGACTCTGAAACTCTAACCTTAGGACTCATGGGAATCAAATCAATGGGCTGTCTAGGTAGGTAACCGTATACGACTTCTGCTGGACTTAAACCCGTAGATCGGTTTACAGAGTTGTTGTAGGCAAATTCAACTATAGGTAATTTAGAGTCCCAGTCCCGTATATTTTCTCCTACCAAAGTTCTTAAAAAGTTTCCTAAACTTATGTTCACTACTTCGGTTTGACCATCCATTTGGGGGTGAAAAGCAGTGGAGAATTGTAATTTGGTCCCCATCTTGTGCCATAACGTTTTCCAGAAGTAACTAGTAAATTTCACATCTCTGTTTGACACAATGGTCTTGGGTAGGCCATGAAGTCTTACAATTTCATCAAAATACAGCTTAGTTATCCTAGAGGCATCAAAAGTTTTGGAGCACTGGAGAAAATGGGCCATCTTAGAAAATTTATCTACAACCATGCATATTGAGTCATGCTTCCTAATGGTTTTGGGTACCCCTAAGATAAAGTCCATGCTAACGTCTTGCCAAGGTTGGTTAGGCATGGGGAGGGGTGTGTAAAGGCCAGTGTTTTGCTTACGCTGTTTGGCCAATTGACAGGTGTGACATCGTCTTACTAATCTGCTAACGTCCCTCTTTAGACTCGGCCAGTAAAAATGATTTTCAACCGCTGCAATAATCTTGGCTTGACCAAAGTGACCTGCTAAACCTCCAGCATGTAATTCCCAAACAAGAAATTCTCGAAGTGACGTATTGGGAATACAAAGTTGTTGGGACTTAAACAAGTATCCATCCTCCAACATAAAATCTCCTATAATCCGTTCATCTCCAGTGGTAAGCGCAGAATAGGTTTCCTTAAAATCAGGGCAGTCTGGGTAGTCTTCCTTGAGCCGCTCAAAACCTATTATATCAGTAGTCATCTTCCTAGTAATCATCATCCGACGGCTTAAGGCATCAGCAGCCTTATTTTCAGATCTTGCTTTATGTCTGATGGTATACGTGTACTCCTGCAGGAATTCAACACAACGGCCATGCCGAGCATTGAGTTTCTTTTGAGAATTAATGTACCGCAAAGCCTCATGATCCGAAACGATGACAAATTCTTGCGGTAGAAGGTAGTGACGCCAATACCTAAGGGATTGAATGATGGCGTAAAATTCCTTGTCGTAGGTGGAGTACCGTTGTCTAATGTCATTCAGTTTCTCGCTAAAGAAAGGACTCCACCTATACCAATTCTAGACGCATCACAAGTCACCTCAAAAACTTTAGAAAAATCAGGTAATCTCATCACAGGGGCTTCCATCATTCGCTTCTTAATCTTCTCAAAAGCCCTAGTTGCAGCTATGGTCCAAAGAAACTCTCCTTTCTTAAGGCAGTCCGTTATTGGCGCTACTATGGCTAAAGTTTCGAATAAACCTCCGATAAAATGTGGCAAATCTGTGAAAACTCATAACATCTCTAATATTCTTGGGTTCTGGTCACTCATTTATATCTCGCACCTTTTTGGGGTCAGCAGATATGCCTTGGGAAGATATGATAAATCCGAGGAAGGTTACTTGATTTGTGAGGAAAGTGCACTTCTTAGGATTGGCATACATCTGCTCCCTTTTCAAAATCTCACAAACTTGTCTTAGATGATTCAAATGTTGTTCCACCGAATGACTGTAGATTAAGATATCATCAAAGTATACTACAACAAACTTTCCAAGGAAAGACCTAAGGATCTGAGTCATCATTCTCATGAAAGTACTTGGGGCGTTGCTTAATCCAAAAGGCATTACAGTCCACTCGTATAACCCATCTTTGGTCTTAAATGCCGTCTTCCACTTGTCTCCGGGGCGGATTCAAATTTGGTGGTAGCCACTCTTAAGATCGATCTTAGAAAATAGCGTGGCTCCGGTCATCATGTCCAACATGTCATCTAACCGAGGGATAGGGAAACGGTACTTGACAGTGATTTTGTTGATAGCACGGCTATCAACGCACATTCTCCACGTCCCATCCTTCTTAGGGGTAAGAAGGGCAGGAACCGCACACGGGCTAAGACTCTCCTTAATGAACCCCCGTTGTAACAACTCATCCACTTGTCTCTTGAGCTCCTCATGTTCAGTAGGGTTCATTCGGTAATGTGGTAGGTTTGGTAAAGAAGCTCCGGTTACTAGGTCTTGGCATGTTGAATGTCCATTAGAGGTGGCAATTGGTTGGGCAAATCTTCAGGGAAGACATCAGAAAAAGTTTCCAACAGTGGTTTTACTTCCTCAGGGATTGGCTCGTCTTGATCTACACTCACTTT